ATGGTGGGCCACCATCACCAAACAGAGATTCCACAAAGAAAAACACTATGCCTCGTTGTTCACTAAAAATAACAGCAATGGCCGAGAGCTGTAGCTCACGCCTATAATCCCAGCACTTTGGGAAGCCGAGGTGAGAGGACTGCCTGAGCCCAAGGGTTTGAGACCAGCCTGGGCAACTTGGCAAGATCTCATCCCTACAATAAATCAAAAAATTAGGCGGGCATGGTGGCCCATGCCTGTAGTTCCAGCTACTTGGAATGCTGAGACGGAAGGATCACCTGAGTCCTGAGTCCAGCAGGATGAGGCTGCGGTAGCCGTGAGCGTGCCACTGCCCTCCAGCCCGGGCAACAGAGTAAGACTCCAACTCAAAAAAAAAAAAAAGAAATAGCAATGGTAGTAATACTAGGAATCACAGCAGAAATTATACTGGCGATATCAGCTATTTGTAGAAAATCTACATGTAGCAATTCCTTCACAACTTTTTGATGAAAGAACTAAAATTATTCACATGTTGCAGATGAAGAAGGTAAAGAGGATAAATGACTTGGTCAAAGTCACACAACCAATAAATAGAAGAGCCGGGATTCGAACCCAAGCTGTCACTCCAGAGACCTTATGCAACACTGCCATCAATCCCAAAACAACTGCATAATCAGCACCTAGTATGATGCTCGACAGTTAATTATTCATTGAAAATGTGAGATCAATAAATCAATACTACCATTTGGGACTTTATAATCATTAGCTGCATGATCTAACTGAGCAACTCCCGTAAATTTTACTAACCATCAGGATGTGGGTTGCATCAGTATCTTACATCTTTCTTTCAAAGCAAGTGTTTATTGAGTATTTTCAAGGCATATGCACCAGATATCAGTAATAGACATAATAGAATTCTGCTCTCAGTCTAGTGGGGGACATATATAACAAGATTAGCATCCACATGTCATGAAATAACTTGTCAATAATTCATAAATATTGGTCATTTAAATTCAGAAATTACTACTAGTTTGAAAAGCAGCCAAAGTTTTTCTTTTTTGAGTTGGAGTCTCACTCTGTCGCCCAGACTGGAGTGCAGTGGCCGCTCCCGGCCACCGCAGCCTCGACCTGCTGGGCTCGGGCAATCCTTCCGCCTCAGCCTTCCGAGTAGCTGGAAATACAGGCGCACACTACCACGCCCGGCTAGTTTTTTATTTATTGTAGAGATGAGGTCTTGCCAAGTTGCCCAGGCGG